TCAACCTAAGGGTAATGGATTCCATGGATTAGTCTTGAGGATCTGCGTTTATTTCAAATCAGTTTTGTTTCCCCTCCCAACTCAGATTGATATCGTGCGATCGTGGATATTCAATCTGAGGTTCGCGATTGCGATTATGGAAAAGGATTAATCATCAGATTTGATGATTAGCTTGATTGACCCTATGACCTTAAATCAAGCGGGCTGATACTCTGCGATTGTATGAGTAGAAGCATCGTCTTTGATCAAATGCTAAGCGATCGCTTAGAGAGGGTTGTCAATTGGAAATAAGGATTCTGATTCGATTGACAAATCAATCACGACTCTGATACCCTCTTATCCGAGGAAAGACGTCCATGGAACCCAAACCTTAGGTTGGTTATTTTTAATTACGAATTTTACATACAATTTTACATTCTGCCTTTTTAAATTATCAAACTGAGATCAAAACAAACCCCCCTTTTATTTTCTGTCATCATAAGCGATTTTTACCCAAACAATTTCCTTGAGAGACGACTTAGGGTTTGCACTTTACTACAAAAAATTTCTGAACCCTAAAGAATTAATTTTTAATTTGCGCGAGTTTGACAGCTCGTGTCAATCACATATTGGCACAACTTTCCATCTCTGACGAACTTCTCCGTATTATTTATGAGGTCCCAGCATTGATCAGTAGTATGCCCAGGTCCATTAAGAAATGCACAGAACCTGGACTGATCCAAGCCTTCTTTGTTGAATACAGGCTGTGGTCATTCTGCTTTCTTCATCTTAGTCATTGCCACTTGATGGGACGAAAATTTGTTCCCATCTAAGCCCATTTTGACGGTAAAATACCATTTGTTCCCTCATCTGATGAGCAACTTTTGCATTAAAAATACGTGTTTATATCCTTATGACAAAAACACAGTGAGGAATGGATGATAAGGTAATCATTTGAGAAATATAGGAAAAAGGGGAACGGATTGGTTCATTAAATACACCTGCTCCACTAACTCAATCTCTCTGACCACTTTGTAGGAAACGTTGAAAGAAGCTTCCATAAAGCATAAAGAGGTACAACAATCAAGCAGGAAAAAACTTGTACAATAGAGAATAAAGAGTTCCCATTTGGCAAGAGGAAAGCAAAGCATGGGAAGTGTAGAAGGAAAGGCAAATCTCAACAATAAGTGTCTCATCCAGCAACTTGCGTCCCTCTTGAGTACTGTTCACACCGCCCCTTTCTTGCAGTGAAGAAAACAACTCAAAGGAAATTACAAGTGTTGTCATCCACTCTTCTGACCTATAAATAAAACGTTCTAACACGAAGAAACGATCAAATTCCTTAAGAAGAGATCATCTAGTTTCTATTTTAGTTTTTACTTTTCATTTGTATAGTTTTTAGTAGTAGTTAAATGACAACAGCTCTTCCTCTATTTTATATCACCCATTTGAGACTCTTCACGAGCAACTTTCACACTTCTCCATTTTTATTTTCTGTAACCTAATCTTGTTTCATATTAATATAAGTTGTTCTTTCTTTTCTCTTCCAATAGTTATCTCTGAATTGAATCTCGGGTCTATGGGATTTCAGTTTGGAATAATTATGTTTATTATTGTAGCCATGGGCTAAGTTATTTGTGGAACGAAAAAACTGTGAAGTTCTTAAAGAACTGTATTTAAAACTTTTGCACTGAAGCTTTTGTATTTTTGTGATTAAGTGTGCTATATTCTTTTGCGTATCAATGGAAATTGAACTCAAACTGAGAAAGGAACTTCCATAGGGAAGGGATTTCAAACAACTTAATCAGAGGAGGAAGGTAGTGCTGTGAAAACAACACTACTGGTTGCCTTAGGAATAAGGAACCACCTCGTTCACTGAAGGTTCTGAACTTAGTAACCCTTGGAGTCAAGGGAGCCATAGGAATATGGAAACTTGTGAGCCATTAAAGTCCATGAGCTGAGGAATTAGAGTTGGCAGTGAAAAGACCTGAAAAAATTCAGAAGAGTTAAGTCTTGAATTGAGAATATAGCTATTTAAGAATGGAACAGTGGATCCGTTCCTTTTGTTAAAAATTGTTTTTATCCATCCATATTGTTGTCTCTTAAATATTGTTATGTTATTGTTATTTTCTTTCACAAATCTTGTGATTACAATATCAAAACTCCAATGAATATTGTCATTCCTTCTCTCATCAAGAAGAATTTCATATATAACGACGCGAAGAGTTGTTTGAAGTCAGACTGAACCTACTATCCTTGAGGAACATTGTCAAGATAGTAGGGAATGGACGACCAAACAATTCAAATACTGTCTTTTCTTTTTTCATTTTAATTCTTTATAAAACAGTTTAGAGTATTATTTAAAGTTCTATCCTCGTGGGAACGATAATCTGGGCATTAATAATCTCATTTATTACTTGATGCATGCACTTGCGCACTTGGGTTGAAATCAAGAGAACGAATGTGTTTTCTCTTTATGAACTGAATTAAGGGAACGTCCTTTAAACGAATATCTAAGCAACCAACAAGTTCATACCCAACACCACTTCTTTCTATATCTTAGACCGTGGTACATTTAATTGAGTATATTTTTCATACCTCCCTACCTGGAATATGTCATCCGGGTTTCTTCCACAAAAATCTTTCCTTTTGCTACCTGCACGTTCGTTTTCCTTTGGAGCTGGACTTTTCCTCTTCGAGCTCATCTTCCTATTTTCTTCTCCTAATGCATTTGCTACCTCTATTTGCTCAAGCTCCAAGTATTTCTTTGACCGAGCTCTGAATTCCTCTAATGTTTTCACAGGATCCTTGTATATTGATTTTGCCAACCGAGATGCACCATCCAAGCCAGCCACAATTAAATGTACATGAACATTTTCTTGTCAACCCGAAACTTGCAATGCGGCATTTTTAAATCGGTTTAAATGTTTCTAGAGAGTCTCTCCATATTGTTGCCTAATTTTTCCAAGTGCAAACTCAGATTTTAGATGCTTCTTACTTGTTGCAAAGTTCAACAAGAACTTCTCTCCAAAGTCTTCAAAGGATCCAATGGAATTGTCAGGCAAGGTTGAGAACCATGTCTGCGTAACTCTAGTAGCAAATATCCGGGATATGATAGGCTCATCAATCCCCTTGACATATATATCTGTATCGAAGGCATCTATGTGAACCTGTGGGTCTTGGCTCCTATCATACTTCGGCAAATGTGTCGAGTCAAATTCTTCTAGAAACTGGGCATTAAGAATCTCCCCCGTGAAGGGACTATTATTGTATTGCCCCTTGCTATACTTCCTCCTGTATGCACCAGTCTCTATGCATCCTTGAACGTTATATGGAAACTGGAAATCCCGGTTATGATGTGTATCACCCCGGTTGTTCTCCACATTCCTCCCTGCTCCAGCATTCAGGGTAGAAATTATCACATTCGCATTGTGATTGGCGTTTGAGATATGAAATTCACCAGTATTAGCCACACCTTGAACTTCGGTAACCCCAACCTGGACTTGAGTATCCAGGTTACGATCTGTATTACCCCGGCCCTGATCATTGCCATCCTGGAGTTGACGGGTTTTCCTGTCATCTCGGATCTGGCCTCCAACATGGCCCAAATTCCTTGTCCACATCAACTGCTCCTCTATCTCTTGCATTCTTATGATATTTTCTTCTTGAATTCTCCTGAAATCCTCCTGTCACTGAAGGTTGTTACGGTTCTCCATATCCTCCACCCTCCTTAAGATCGCAGCAAACGCGTTTTGTGCAAGGCAGGTGTCTGGATTTGCAGCAAGTGCATTGCGGGCAACCTCATTTACAAGATTCAGAGGAGGATCCATAACTCGATTATGAGGAGCTGGTGTCGAGGCTGTGTCCGAGACGTCCGCACTCACGTGAACAACATCATAATCAACCTCGTTCTCTGGTTGATTCTGAGGGTGGCTTACTTCTTCTACCACAGGATTCAGTGGAAGATTCGGGTGTGGTGACAGTTGACCGCTACTCCTTGTACGAACTGCCATTCTTGCTTGTGATCGCGGGAATAACGAATTTATCATCCCCACAGACGGCGCCAATGTTTTGTCCTAAAGACAGAGATGTCTAACCCAATGAGTTAGTATGTTTGTGTTGGATCTAGGTGCTCCCTCTAAGGTATCTATGAGTTAGATACCCTTGAGTTTAGCATATCACTGTGCACTAAGAATAATAGACAACTTTAGCCAAATGGGTGGTATGTGTGCACAGTGACAGCATAACAGTAATAGAGAGAGTGTACGCATACATGTAGGCTTTACCTCTTATTTATAGGATTTACCTGTAGGTATTGGATTCTGAACCTTCTATGTTCCTAGCAATCCAAGCCCTTGTATAATGCTGTCGTATCAAAATTTTTATCCTTGATGGATATCCTTTCCCAATTATATAAAATTTATATTTAGATTGCCCCTTGTTAGGCTTAATGATAAATGAGTCTCACATATAAGTCTATAACAATTTTGTTGGATAATAGTGTGTAATTTATTCTTTTTCATATTAAAATATTTAAAATTAATTTTGTTTTTTTACATGTATTTAAATATATATGTATTTAAGTATATTTATAATTTTTTTAATATAAATAATAGATTTATATATATGGGTTTAAATTTTCTTGTGTTGTAGGATTGTAGGAGAGAAAAAAAGTAAAGAGAAGTTAAATGTGGGTCCCATATTTTATATTAAAAAAGAAAAGAAAAATTAATTGGCACGGAAAACGAATTAGTGTAGGAAAATGATTTACTCTTATGTAGCATAAAAGTACTATTTCCCTATATATATTTACTGAGTGATACAATTATACCAATAATTTACTGATTAACCTGATAACTCAGTAATCCGACCAAATCAACAACCCGCACCGGATTTAATAACATTTATCTTTATAACTAGCAAGAGGTTAATTTGCCTTTTAACTTTTCTAATCTTCTCATCGCAACGCAAGTGACAATCAGTAAAAAATTGAAACATCGATAAATAAAAGGGATGAAAAAATGGAACGTCGGAGACATGACCCAATAATTAATACAACAAACCCAAAAAGTTCGTTGTGGCGATCGATGGCGACGCCAGGCTCAGCCGCGAGCGGCGGAGCGTCGGCGAAGTCCATGGTGGCGGAGCAGATCTCTCAGGCGGTGCAGTCCACCTCCAACCTCCTCCACCTCATGCAACAGACATCTCCTGCACAGGTTACTATCCTTGTTTTTTACAGAGAGAGAGAGAGAGAGAGAGAGAAAAGAAGAAGAAAAAGAAGCACAAGAAGCTTTCTTTGCCAAATTTATTGAAAATTTTAAAATAAAAAAGAAACTAATAAAAAAGAAACTAACTTTGCTTTAAATGGATTTAATGAAAAAATTTATGTATGATGGAGGATAATGATGTTGTTTGATACATGTCTGGACCTCAACTTAGCAATTCGCCTTTATTGTTGTTGTTGTTGTTTGAATCACTTGCAGGCTCAACTGGTTAAGCTTCCTAAGAACCTTTTGGCAAAGGTTTCCACCATCAAGAATACAGAGCAGGTATTTGCATCTATATGATGCAGAGTGGTTGATGAATGTGAACAAGTATGCAAAGTGTGTGATGGTGATGGTTGTTTTTCTGTTCTGTTGTTGCGCAGGTTTTAAACCAGATGCCTGGGGTAATATCAGCTCTAGATGCTCATATGGAAAATGGGTTACACAAGTTAGTACCTTCTCTTGTCTAATTGAATGTACTGTATTATTATTGTCATCTATTTTTTAACCTAGGGTGCATGTGAAGTGTTATGAGCTTCAACCTTGTGCTACAAATGGTTAATTATGCTTGTTTAATATATTGTGTTGATGCCTAGTGATTGGGGGGCACCGCATTTTTTTATAAATTATTATTTTTTGAGTATGGAAAAACTTTGTGTATGTATGTTCACATAGTCTGTCCCAAGCCAGGTAAAGAGGAAGGTTGCGTTAACCGAAGCTACTTTCAAGAGATGAACCCAAATGATTTTTTGTGTATCAAAACTTTATGTACCTAGACTCAAATTTCCGATCTTTCCTCTACATAATCACGTGTATTATCAGTGTATGATATGTCATTTTTTGTTTATTATGCCTGACATAAGTTGCAAATTTGCAGTATTCCACATCTGAAGACTGTGGTTCAGTTACTTGCAAATATGGAAAGCAGCCAGCTTAGTTCACTGTCCCAAACCCATCCTCTCAAGGTATAATAGCTTTGTCACAGACACTCATGTATATTATTACCTTGTAATTGAAATTGAAAATGGAGGAAAGCTGGGAATAGGAGGCCCAGAAGAGAACTTAAAATGGCTCCTTTGGGTGAACTGGTGATGGCTTGACAGGAAAGTCTTTGTTCTTCAAATGCTTTCTACAGTGTACCTTTCTCCACCAGGGAAAATGATTGGAAGAAAGAAAATTAAAAAAGCTTTTGTGGGAGTGAGTTCAACTTTTTGAATGACTTTGGTGCTATGCGTGACTGATCATGTTCTATCATTTTGCCCTATCAGGAACTTGAACCAGAAAACCAATCTCAAGGGACAGGTTAATGGAATGTATGTTGCTTGGGAGTCTCACCTCTCATCAATTCATGCAGAGTTTTTGGAAGGTTTGAAACCAAACTGATCATCCTTAATTTCATCATATCGGATATTTTCCTTCTTGGAGTCTTCTTGCAAAATGTTGTTTGTTCCCTTTAGCCTCTTGTTCTATTAATCTTATTAATTCAGGATAGGAAGAGTTTCTCAACTTTTTTCATTATCCTTATCAGCATGATTAACTGGAGTGATCAAAATCACAAGAGATTCTAGTATTGTCAATTTCAAAAGAATCACTGTCAAATATGTATTTGATCTTAACACAAAAAAAGAAAGAAAGATGAATAAAGATTAATGTAGTGATGAGGTAAGAGGTAAAGAAACCAGGACAATTTAGATAATGCATTTATTGATAGCAAATACTGAAAAAGAAACATGTGAGCCCGTTTTACAAAAAGTCTTCCAAAGCCTTGGGCTGAACAATAGGATTAGCATTACAAAATTACCGAGTGAGAATCTAAGATCATGGACGAGTTGGTGATCTCCCAATTGTTGAGCTTTGTACCTGGAGAACATCGATAAACCAGGTTAACGCTATGATCCTTAGGATGATCCAAGGGCGGCTCGGTTGGGAAATTGCGAACCTAAGACTAAGGTCTAAGGGGATTCCTGTTTATGACATACGACGAAGTTGGCTGGTGTTTTTGGATCAAGTGTTGATGATGATCATCCTATTGACCATCCTATATATCATGCATGTGTACACATTTTCAGCTTGTGTTTTTGGTTTTTTTCATCTTTGATAATCAAACTTCGCCAAATCTTATGTGCAAAGTGATGCATCTTTTATTCTTTTTATTTTTAAATCAATTTTCCTTTTGTTGCTATGGTACTATTTCCAGACAGAAAAAACCACTTAATGTGATGGTGGCACTTCTACTCCCTAGTCCCTACGACAGCACAACGTTGTATCCTGTAAAGAACCAATTCAACCCAAAAGCTTAAGCTGTTGGGTGAGGCTATATTAATGGTTTTATATATCTCAACACGCTTCTTCACACGAAAGTCCACTGGGCTTGAAGGGTGGACAATGCACAGGTCGATTTACCTGTGCGAAGAAAGAAATTCCACTTGAAAGAAAGTGAGGGGCGGTGAGGATTGAACCCTGGACACGAGGCTCTGATACCATGTAAAGAACCAATTCAACCCAAAAGCTTAAGCTATTGGGTGAGGCTATATTAATGGTTTTATATATCTCAACATATCCCAAAGTTTTTTATCTACTTAATCAGTACTAAATTCAACAATAATTGCTATTCTCTTTTGATAAAAGATATTTTAATGTAGATAGAGAAGGATGAAGGAATACTAAAGTCAACACTAAATTTTCACATTACTGATAAAAGTTAAGACCGAGACACAAAAGATAGTATCAGATGCAGGCATTTTAGCCAGCAAAATGATTTGACAAATAAACAAGGGATGGAAGCTACTTTGAAGAGTTCAGAGTATATTAAAGCTCATGAAATTTGTTTGTGCTGTACGAATTTATAAATTGTCATTTTGAACTCATGTAACCGAATGGAAGTACAACTTAAAAGCTGGAGACAGAAGTAGCCAATCTACCATCTAGCTCTATTTGTTGTTCATGATAGACAATTACTTATTTACGTATTCCAATTTGTTTCTTTTATTATTAGAATGCTACTGAGATCCCTGTTTTTGTACATGAAGGTCCAAATTGCAAATTCAGAAATAATGTGAACGGCTGTTAGTTGCATTCAAACAATAAACAGTTTAATTTGATTCTCACAGAAGTCTTTATCCCAGTGCCAGAAATCAAGGTGGGATCACCTACCAAAGTAAAGAACAACTCTTACCTAATCAAACAGTTGAAATGCTAACTTCTAATAATCAGACTTCTATCTGCATTCTATATTATCGGAGAAAATTTTCAGTGCTCTAGTGCTTTATGGACATTTAAAGTAAAAGCTCATCCATTCGCCTAATTGCATTTATGAAGAAGTTGCTAAATAAAAATGGGCGTAAGTTCCGTTACGTAAGTGTGCGCTTCTATTTTAGGTGGGGGTAGTATGTATTACAGTAAAATATTCTACTATATTACAAACTAGCCAGACGTCGAAGGATGAACAAAGGCTTCACCTTCAGCATCAAGCAAAGATCTCTCTCAAAAAAAGAATGAAAAAAAAAAAAAAAATCAAAAATCTGCTTCAATGTTGCAATCAAGCTATGCAATGTTGCAATTAGGGGTGAAACTGGGTCAGGCCGGCTTATAGGGGCATACGTCAAGCCAGACCTGACTTAGTATATTTCGTAAAATAGGCCGGACTTGGGCCTTAAAAAAATTTGTTTAATAAAAAAGTCGTAGGCTCACTTTCACAAAGCCTGACCTATAAGCTTACAGGCCGACTTATATTGTATTATTTATTTTAAATAAAATAAAATATAATAAGTATGCCTTGAAGGAAAAATAAATGATATAAATTCAGTCAATTGCAGTTATTTATAACTTAATTATATTCAATTATATTTTAATAGAAATCTAATTTTATTTTTTATGTAGGAGGAACTAACATCTCAGCATATTATATTGTGTATATGAATATATTAAAAGGTTTTTGGGAGAAGTTTATACTTACTACAAGCATCATGATGTGTTTGTTGGATTCATGTAGTTATTTTAATTTATATAGTATGGATTTATTTGTAGGATCTGATGAAATATTTTGTTTGAACATTTTGCTTTTGAAAGTGACTTAAATGCAGATTGTATGAGTTTTGTTGCGATTCATGATTCTATTTGAACGTTGAAATTATTATTTTTGGTTTAGCAACAGTAATATTTTGTAAAGTTTGATTCATGGTTATGCTTTGAAGTTAAATTAACAGGCTAACGGGTTAGGCCAGACCATTTATTTTTTTATAAATGGGCTAAGTCAGGCTAACAGTTAGACTCATACAAGGCTTGGACCAGGCCAAATTAAAATCTTTTAACGTAGGCTTGGACTTTTCGGGACAAAGTTTGGTCCAGCCCAGTCCAGTCCACTTTCTCCCCTAGTTGCAATCAACAGATCAAGATAAAAAAAGTAAAAAATACATTGGCCCAACACCGTTGGGTCTAGTTTGATGTGGGTTTACTAACAATGAGTCGAGCTAGCCTGCAAACTTGAAAATGTTATAATTTACTATTATAATTATTAAGTTTCATTTCTTTAAATTTACTTAAATATTATTAATATTATTTAAAAAAATTAATTTTATGTAATAATTAATCCAAACATTTTAATTAAAATCAATTTAATTTTTTATTTCAAATCAATTAAATAAATTATTTAAAATTAATATTTTTAAACTCTACTTATATAAATGAGTAAAGGAAATATTGATAAAATAATTAGTACATAGCCCATAACCCGTAGAGGGCCCGGTTTGGCTAACAATTTGTCAATCCAAACCATATTCAGTTTAATATGAATCTGACTGCAATTAAAGTAAGTCGTAACAGGTTATCCGAAATGGACTAGGCTTGCCCAATTTAACTCCCCCAGTCCCGATAGAGGTATATTGCAACCCCAAACAAATTATACCTGCAATTAGGTATGACAATTTTCAACAGGACACCCGTTGACACGATATAAATATAACACAAAAAATATATGTTTGGATCAATTTATTTTCAAATTTGTGTTGTGTTTGGGTAAGCAAAAATTGACCCAAAATTTTTTGTGACGTGTCGCATCGTAAATAGGTTATTGGTGTCATGTCGCATAATACTAATTTGCATAATAAGCGATATATTATGAGTTTGCGAGTTATTCGTGTCATATCGTGTCAATTCACAAAATAAGCGGGTTGTATTCATATTAAAGGTTTAAACCAATTTCAAATTCATATAATATTTATATCGATTTCATGTCGTGTCGACGCGAATTGCCACTTTCATGGCTATTCAATTTGCTACTGTATCAATTGGTTCTTTATTTAATCAGTGGCTATCGAATTGAATAGATTGAATCGAATTTATAAAATATTATATTATATATGTAATAAGAGAAAAATATTTATCATTTTAAATGATGGTCATTTTAGTTAAAACTAATGTTTATATTTAAAATATAAATTAAAAAAATATTCACTTTCTTTCCCATAATTTTCATTATGTATCTCTTTTTCTTTCTTAAAAGAATACAATTAAAAGGACACAATTATTTCTTTTAAAAAGAAAAAACCAAACCCATATAATAATGTCAACATTATGGTTTATCAAAAATAAAAATAAAAATAAATAAAATAATGTCAACATTATGAAAAAGAATTGACTTTTACGAAGTGGCAATTCTCACTTGTACTTATCTATTAGGAGGTTTGAGTTTCGATCATTCCATATCAGTTGAAAATTCATTTTTTTTTTTATATAAAATATAGGTATTTTTTACATGATGCAATCCTATTAAGAGTGGATCCAGGATTAAAGTTGTAAATTTATCCCAAAAATATTACTGGGAAGGATAAAATATATATTCTCACTCTTAATTACCCAGCTCCTATGCACCAATTGAGTTATTATTATTTGATGAAAAATTCATTTTTAAATTCCGTTGAAGAACTAGTTCACCAATTTCATTTTCATACCAATTCCCAAACATAACCGATTAGATCCAACCGATTGGTTGTCAGTTTTTTTTTTTGGAAGCAATCTATCCAATTTTAATAACACTGATTTGAATTTCTAAGTTAATGTTGAATTTATTTATTTTTACCAAACTAATACCCTTCATGTAAGATTTGTGTATAATTGCTTGGTAGCTCAGTTGAAGCCAAAGAATTGAGTAGGTGAGATAAAAGTATATATTTGATAATCTTCAGTACTGTCTTTGTGAGGGATTTGAAATCCTTAATTTTAAAACTCATCCTGAATTAGATAATCGCGAATGGTGAACCAATTGGAATATTTCAAAAAATAAAATAAAAATTATAATCTAGCCTAATATGGTAGTAGAATTTCACTTTTTTTTTTCTGTTGGACAAAATAAATATAATTCGTTATTATTATTTTTTTTTTTCAATCTAACCACCGGAAATATGTCTAGACTTCTAGATAAATTGATATTTATCCAAACGAAGCATACTTGACAACTAAGGTTTCAATTTCTAACTATACCATGTATCTCTCAATTTACCTACTCAATAGTTGGATTTACTTTTTTATACATTGAACTCTTGTTTAGTAAATAAAAGTGTGATTTTACTTAAAAAAATTATGTTTGCTTGTTCTTAGTTAAAATTTACTTTTAAAAGTAACTAAAAATAAAAATAATAATATAACTTTTTGCACTACGTTGATAATTTTATATTAAGTTTTATTATAAATTTACTTTTAAGATAAAAGTCACTTCAATTTAAATTAACTAAAACTAATTTTTTAAAATTAAGAGCAGTCAAATTAAAATTTACAAATACTCACCTAAACACTCACTTACTACATTATTTTCCAAATTTGGTATTTTGTTATAACAAATAGTTCTTTTTATTATATATAAAAATGAATAAAGTTTCTCATGTTATGGGAGATAAAATTATCTCCTATACAACCACGTGGGTTGGCGTGATGGTTCAACATCTCGTCCCTTAAGCAACCAACTCTTGTGAATGGAAAATATTTTGTGGCCAGCTCTTTACCGCTTTGTGCACTGACCCGGGGCGAGGGATAGTCTCATGGCTATCGACTGTGGGGATATCCGGATGTAATCCAAAAAAAAAAAGAAATTATCTCCTATACACACATAAAAATATGCGGAACCCTTTTTTTCTCTTTCTCACCCCTTTCCTTATATAGTCTCATATGAATCTAGCACATTTTTATATTTATGTAGAAGATAATTTTATCTTATACTATGGAAACTTGAAACCAATATAAAAAGAGATAGGTTATTATGCCTACTCTTATTTTTCCTACCTTTGCCTACTCCTTTCAATACCGTTAGATTACGATCTCATCCAACAATGGAGATTGACATAATAAAATAAACCCTATTTTCCTTTCTTTCTCCTCATTGTCTCTCACACTCTTTCTCTCCCCTCCCCTTTTTCTATATCTATTTGCGTAATTTACCACCTGAATTTATATTTTAATCTAAATTCATGCAATTATTAATGGCACGATGGTTCTGCTTAATGAGTATAATTTTTAAAGTTTTTGAATTTGATATAATTGAACACGACAAAGAACCTTAGGATACACCACCCCAAAAGCTAGCTCAAGGGGTGAGAGTGTCCAACGCCTTATAAACTCCATATTAGTTGCTCATACAACCAATGTGAGACTATATATCTCAACACGCCCCTTACGCAAGAGCCCTTTGGGCAAGAAGCGTGGAATTGCACAGGCCTAATTTTTAATTTTTGGTTTACCTTTTTGTGCTTTTTATTTTAATTCCACTTGAAAGTGGGAGGCGGTGAGAGCTCAAGCTCTGATGCCATGTAAAGAACCTTGGGATACACCACCCCATAAGCTAGCTCAAGGGGTGGGAGTGCCCAAGGCCTTATAAACTTCATATTAGTTGCTCATACAACCAATGTGGAACTATATATCTCAACAACCACAAAATTACCAAAAAATGAAAATCATGAATAACTCTTCATTTGAATTAATCCACGATTACCGTAACATTTCTACTTTGCTATTGAAATTTGAAACGAATCAACTTATCTCCTTCTTCTTATATATTTTTTACCTTTAAATGGGAAAAAGATTTCTGTTCTTTTTATGTTACGCCCAACAACAGGCCTACTTAGTTGCATAACATAGGGCATATGTGTTTATTTATTTTTTACATCTCATTTTAATTTTTTATGTAAATGCTCGTAACAATGACTGGATTGGATGAATTGAAAAAAAAGCTTGCATATTTTTTTGATGGTGAAGAGCCATTGAAGAAAGAGAAATGGAAGGAGACAGAAAGGACACGAGGTAGACAGAATAACCTCTCTCAATGTTTTAAGATGTACAACTTATCGTATTATATATTTTGTATAATTTTTGGCAATTGAAGTTGACCATTCTTCAAGTATTAAATTTTTGTAACATACCCATGATTTTTCTTTTTTTTTTAGATAGCCAATACCCATGATTTTTCAAACAAATGAACAACCACGTGTAAAAACATGTCAAACTTATAGAAAATCAGTATAGTTTTCACAGATAAAAATAATTAATTTTTAATCATAAATGCATGACTTAATGATTCTTCAACAACTCTCACACCTCATAGTTTTAGAAGTACAATGAACTAAAATAGTAAGCATTTAGTACATAGAAACTCGTTATACTAAGATTTAGATCTGAATATATTTTGTAATACAAATTTACAAAACCCTTACAACTACAATAATTACATGCACATGACTCTAGCTAGATATTTTAGTTTCAACAATGATGTAAAAATTATTGTTATTTTTCTGAAATTATTATTATTATTATTATTATTATTATTTTCAATTTCCAACTATCTTTCACTGACATTGTAATATTCGGAGCAAAGACTGTGACAACTGACAACTCTGTCACGTCACATGTCTCAGATTAAAAAGTTGAATATTATAATAATTTCCTCAGGACAGTTTCAAAATTCGCCACTCTGACCAAAACAAACAATTATGCTCTTATTAATGCCATCACCCTACACGTGGCATTCATGGCGAATATTGGGAACATCATTCATAGTGGGTCCCACTTTGCTTTTTTGGGTCCACATAAAATCAGACGGTGCACAACACTCAATAATCTTAAACTGGTATCCTTCTGCCACGTGTAAGGCTTCTGATTGAGCTTGAGTGTGAGCGGCCACACTTTATAATAAATTCCCAAAACGTTAAAGAAGAAAAGAGTTTGGAAGAGGAAGAAGGTGTGTTGAAGAGAGGAATCAAAAGGAATGTTTTTGAAGGAGGAAGAGAGAGTAGAGAGGTGAAGTGTTGGTGGGTTTTGCTCAGATTTCTTCACTGTGTTGAGGGTATGTTCAAAGTTCCCAACTTGCATTGCATTGTATTGCTTTGTTTGGTGCTGTACTTTCTTGTACTTGAATCTCAGATTGGGAAATGCTTTATCTTTTCTGGGTTTTCTCTCATTTTTCTGGAAAACTTTTGAAATATTTTTATTTTTTTTTATCTGCTGTTGTGTGGAAATGAAGAAATTTGTCCATTTGAACGGAAAAATATAAAGAAGAAAAATAAAATTTTGGGGGGTGGTTCACTGGTTTCTTTAGGTGAAAGCATCTTTTTTAGGTGGAGTGCTTGTCCCATTCTCTCTACATAACTGTGGAATTTTGGTGTGTGTGTATGTGTGTGTTTTGCTTAAATGGGTGTTTGTGGAATATAAAATTGGGACTGTGGGCACCCAAATGGAAGACGAGAGCTTTTTTTAATATGCCCATTGCTTTCTTCTGTGCAATCATTGCTCTTTGACTGTTGACATCTTGTGTGTATTGGTGAAATGGTATTTAATAAGAGCATTTGTTTGCCTTGTTTTGTTGAACTTGTTCATAAACATCATGGCAACCATGTCGGTGGCAGTCAAATTTCTTGTCAAACATGAAAGCAATTGTCCCCTATTTATTCTTGAAATAGTAAAAACAAAAAAAACAAAAAAAGGTTTTTGCTTCTCCTAGTGAATTTAAAATCAAGAAAATTATACTGGTATTACATTGTAAATTGAACAAGCATTTTTTTTGGCATCTCTTTGTTGAATTGGTTATTTGTATGCTGTGAAAGAATGAGCAATCCAGGATTCTAATATTCTATTAGGTTATGCAGGGTAAGTGATTAGGTTACTCAAAGGAAGAAACATATGTTTATTTATTTTTTTGGTAACCGCACTGTTTATTTGTTTTAAACTAAATAAATTAATATAATTAATCTAAATTTTTACTTTCATAAGTTTATCTGAAAAAACGGAATGCAAGCTTGAGGTCTGCATTGCTTTGTTCCATTCTAAGTGGACAGGAAATACTGTAGTCTTAATGTCTAAGGCAAAGTGCTTCTGTTGAAATTTTGAATCTAATTCATTTTATAAGTAAATGTCTTATGGAAGTACAGAAAATTTGTTGATGAAGTACTTGATTTATTATTGGGAAACCTTAGTCCACACAATTTAAGTTTCTGAAACTTGACAGGATTGAATGGTGGGCTGTGGCTTATGCTGTACTTGAAGTTTCTGGTTACCGAGATGCTGCTTCGTTGAAATTTGATGTGGTCATAGGTTGACTAGTGAATTGGGAGGAAACTGACATGAGTATGCTTGTGGGGATATGCTCGAACCGCGTGAATCTGATATACCTCTCCTGTTTCTGGTCCTGGTTGTACTTCCTTTGGTGGCTTACTTCTTACTTGGGAAATGGAGTGAGACTTCTAAGAAGAGAGATAGGATAACTTTGCTTGCCCAATTGGCTGTTGAAGAAACTGTGGGAGCAGAAGAAATGGCTGTCCCTGATGTAATAATTGCTCCAGTGTCTTCATCAAAGAGTGAACTTCATGTGTGTGCTTGTTGCTCTGCTCCAGCAAGAACTCGCTGTGCCAGATGCAAATCTGTTAGATATTGGTATTTCTTTTAACTAATTGCCTAATTATTGTGAATAAACCTGTAGCTGTGAAAATTAGTATTTGGCTGGGGAAATTTGCTCAAATAGTTTTTAGATAGGTTGTCTTGTTGGCAATTTGCTAATTTTGTGCATTTGTTGGAACAACTATTAACGTTTTATTTCTCCATGACATTTTGCCTTAGAGTTTTCAAGTGTTTAACTAATGGAAATGAAGTTGAACTACAGAATCTTGTTGGAACCTATTGGAGAGCAACTATTAAGGTTTTATTTTAATGTGACAATTTGCTTTAGAGTTTTGAAGGGTAATGGAAATGAAGTTGAACTAGATAATCTTATTGTAACCTACTGGTGTTACTTATTGAAACCTAAATTTAACTCCTCTCTCTTGTCTGATCATATAATGTTTTTCTTCTTCTATAATGTGATTGCTGGGGAAAATGTTCTGTTTGACCTTAGATTATTTGTCAAAATTGAGATGTAAGTGGTTTGCAGCTCTGGGAATTGTCAAATAATCCATTGGAGGGTAATTCACAAGCAAGAATGCCAGCAATTGGAAACTCATAAATCAAGCTCGTTTCCTCTGGATGTTTCAGTTGAGGAATTCGATCATGGGAGTGGCTTTTATGAAAATTTGAACAACCAGTTCTTTGGTCATAATTTGAAGCAGACTTCAAGGGAGAGTGCTTCTTTGGAAAATTTGGTTCACCCTCTGACAGGCATGGGTGCTTCTCCTAAAGCCGATTTTTCCCTATTTAATAATTCTCAACCCTCCACCTTTGAGAGAAGAGCATCCCATAAATCCAACAGAGAAGCACAGAGAGACAATGGGTCTATATACGAATCTTCTATTGCATCTTCTGATTATAAGGCTACTAGTTCTCCCTCTTCGAGTGTGGTAACAAAGGAGGCGTTTATGAGACAGAAGGTTTACTTGTTTTACTTTGATTTCCAATTGGCATGCACTTTATAATAGACTATTCAATATAAAATCTTTGGTCATGATACTAAACTGTTTCTGCAGTCAAGAAACAACGATGATTCTGTGTTGGAGGAAGAAACTTCGAAGGTCAATTCTGGTGGCTTTGGAGTTTATATTTACGAACAAGACGTGTCAAGAAGGACAATCCATGAGGACGATAACTATCAAATTCAATATGGAAATGCATTTGTACCAAAAAACAAATATGGACTCTCAAATGTGTCAAGTGCTGCAAGCAATGATGAAAACATAGATGAATTTGAAACAGATTTTGCTACCAAAGGGGAAAATGTAGTCACCGGGGGAGATCATCATTCTGATGAAGCAGCACAATACAAATGCTCTTCTGAAATGACAATTAAAGGAAGTGTGAAGGCTAAAAAGATATCCCAACTTTCCAAGACCAAATTTTCTAAATCACCAAAGTCAACATTAAAGACATCAACAGAATTTTGTTGCACAGAAATAGAGAAGAAAGGGAAAATTGCAGATGAACCAAGTTAGTACAGAAGATCTTTTTTTCCCGTATTTGTTATCTTACTGTCAAGGGTTCCTATAATTTGACTTCACTATTGATTCTATGTTAAGGTATTCTCCTTTGGTCATCAGAACTCTTTTGACAATACAACTCTATGTTCACATTGCAGAAGTCACTGTAATCAGAGACACCGCCCCTTTACATGGTAACAATGGGGCTGCTAGCACTGGAATTATGGAAATGATGGGATTGAGGAAACCAACCAAATTTACTGCACAGACCTCCTCAGAAGGTCGTGGAGTAAGGTGCAAGAAGATGAAGAAGATAAAGGTTAGTTTTATACAAATACTTACAAATTTTAATTCCTTCTGTCCTCCTACTTGAAAATGTTTTCTATGGCCACAAGTTAGAAACTGATGCCCTTACTAACTAGTTGATGTCTTGATCATGCCTCAGATGTTGTTTCCTTATGACGAATTTATAAAGATTTTTCAGAGTGAAGTCTTTGGCATATGCCCCAGGGGTCTTTTAAATTGCGGGAACAGGTAATACTAGCACAGTCCATAAGATCTTTTAATATTGACTGAAATGGAAAGAAATGTTGATTATTTTATAGATTAAATAACAGATATTAACCTTTGTCAAGTTGCGCTGTCCTTATGCAACAGCTAGCATATTATTATTATTATTTGTTATGGTAGACGAAAGTTTAGGGGGAGGGGAGGTTGCACCATTCCAAGGTTACTTCTGTATGTGAACCGTCTCGATTACCCTTTTGTCTTTTCTTCTTGTTTGAATTTGCAAAATGAGCACTGATTTCACTTGAAGACGAATTTATGGGGAAATCTTTTCATTGTTCCTCTTTGCTATATTTTGAATCAACGTTAATTTCATTTTTTTCTCTTTATTTTGCAGTTGCTATGCCAATGCTGTCTTGCAGTGCTTAACTTCTACAAAGCCTCTTGTTGTCTATTTGCTTTATAGATCACATTCAAAAGCCTGTATTTCCATTCTCTCTCCATCTTTAACCAAAACAAGAATGTCAAGACTCATTTTTCTTTCAAGACATTTCGTTTTTTTAAAAAATTTCTTCACTGAATGCCAGGTTATGCTAAAGATTGGTGTCTCATGTGTGAATTAGAGCAACACATAATGATTTTGAGAGAAAATGGGGCTCCTTTATCTCCTAGTAGAATACTTTGGCATATGCGAAGCATTAATTGCCACATGGGTGATGGAAGTCAGGAAGATGCCCATGAATTTTTAAGGTCTTGTGCGATTACCTTGCCTCTTTGACTTTGAATTATTGATTTCTATAGATATTCTATTTTCCTCTCTGAATATCTCTTTTTTTTTACATGAATTTCCTCTATATTTAGTTTGTTATTATATTCTCTATTTCTATACTGAAATATAATTGTGCTTGTTTGAAACCTATGTTTAGTCAATGTTAAATTTAATTTGTTGTTTGTATAGGCTTCTAATTGCATCAATGCAATCTATATGCTTGGAGGGACTTGGCGGTGAGAAAAAGGTTGATCCTAGACTACAAGAAACAACTTTCATACAACATACTTTTGGTGGTCGTCTTCAATCCAAGGTCTGTATACCTTGTTTCAATTCATTCTCAAATATGGTTTACTTTTCTCCCTCTACCTGTAAGTCTTCAATGATAGTGCCATTATTTTTTCCTAATTTTGCATTTATTTGATGGTATACTGAAATTTAATGTCTACAGGTTAAGTGTTTGAATTGTAATCATGAGTCAGAAAGGTATGAGAACATTATGGACCTAACGTTGGAGATATTGGGTTGGGTAGAATCACTGGAAGATGCACTAACTCAGTTTACTTCACCTGAAGATTTGGATGGAGAAAATATGTACAGATGTGGAAGGTCTGATGATCATTTTGAATTCCCTGCTACAATTTTATGTGATTTAGTTGGTTAATTTAGTTATAATCAAAGGATATGGAAATAAAGAGAAAAACAAAGAGTGTCCTTAGATTTTTCACTTCTCACTTCCTATTAAGAGACCCTGACCTCTCTTTATACATTTTGAACTAGGTGTACTACATATGTTCGAGCCAGAAAGCAACTGAGCATACATGAGGCCCCAAACATCTTGACTATTGTTTTAAAGAGATTTCAGGTATCTCATAGCTCTTGTAAGGTTGTTCTCGATTGTAGTTCTTCTTTTGCTTGGGAAGCTTGACTTTGTTTTTTGTCTTTCTAGTTGTTTTTATTGTTACTCATGACCAAAAATTCATTGGATGTTGATGCGGTGCTGTGCAATAATGCTCTTATATAACGTTCTAATATTCTATGATAATAAAAACTTATAGAGAGGGTAAGCCTTGGAGCGGTGGTAAGGTTGATCCTTTGAAGTTTAAAGGCTCGAGGTGTATGAAACAACCTTTTAACAAAAATGCAAGGGTAAGGTTACATACAAAAATGGGATATCTTTAAGTAATTTTCATTTTTTTGGCAGATTTGGGGACCAAACATTTCCCCTAATGTTTGTGTTATGTGCATGAACAACTCTGAAATCTGTTATACATCTGTTTTTATGTTGTCTGATAATTCTTTGTGGGATAGAGTGGGTTTGTCTAAACTCTCTCTAGATACATTTTGAAAATAAGTTTTAGTGCCTGTTTGGCCTTATTTTCAGCTTCTCTTTTCCTTAAGTAGAAGCTGGGCCAAACACTTTTTTTAGAGAAGCTCTTGAAAGTAGCTTTTTTTAATGAAGAGAAATAAGAAATTGAGCTTCTTTTCAAAAGCTCCTAGGCTTCTGGCCCGTTCCCCTCCTCACCGCCTTTGCTAAGCTCCTCCACCACTCCTCCCCGTCTTCTTCCACCGGTTTCATCAAACTCCAATTCATAATAAAAATCTCGAACCCCCAATTGTCTACCAAATAAAAAAAAATTCGGTTCATCTCCTGCATCAGAAACACTTGATTCTAGAATCTGAGTGACCAATAACATGTCCTCCTCGAAAAACACCATACAATGAGTATCACCACACTTGAAAGAAAAGGGTATTTGAAATATTATTGAATTGTGTAAATAATCTGTACAAAGGGGTCTCTATTTATAGAGAATGAAAACCTTAATATTTGATCTAATACTTGACCTAATGGGCTTGGCCCAATACAACAAATAATAATAATAAAATAACCAATATGTACAACACTCCCCCTCAAGCTGAGGAATAGATATTTATCATTCTCAGCTTGCTAGTAAGTTCTTGAAATCTGTCTGGAGGAAGTCCCTTTGTTAATAGATCAGCCAATTGACACCCAGTGGGAATGTATGGAGTGGTAATCAACCTGCTATCAAGTTTCTCTTTGATGAAATGGCGGTCGACCTCAATATGTTTAGTCCGATCATGTTGAACCGGATTATGAGCTATACAAATAGCGGACTTGTTGTCCCATAACAGCTTCATAGGTCACTCACATTTTATTTTGAGATCATCAAGTACAATTTTCAGCCACAGTAACTCACAAATGCCTTGAGCCATAGCTCGAAATTCAGCTTCTGCACTTGATCTGGCAACCACATCTTGTTTCTTACTTCTCCATGTCACTAAGTTACCACAGAGAAACATGCAATAACCAGTGGTAGATCGACGGTCAGTCACAGATCCAGCATAATCAGCATCAGTGTAGACTTCTAAAGAGAGATTGCCATCACGTCGGAATAACAATCCTTTACCAGGAGTAGCCTTAAGATACTGAAGAATTCTCTCTACTACCTACATGTGTTTCTCCTTTGGATCGTGCATAAACTGACTGACAACACTAACAGCATAAGCTAGGTCTGGTCTAGTATGAGCCAGATACATCAATTTTCCAACTAGCCGTTGATATTGTCCTTTATCAACTAGAGGACTTTCTTCTTCATAGCCTATCTTGTGATTCTGCTCAATAGGAGTATTAGAGGGTTTACACCCGAGCTTTCCTGCTTCTTTGAGAAGATCAAGAACATATTTCCTCTGGCTGATAAAAATTCCTTTGCTCGAATGAGCTACTTCTATCCCTAGCAAATATCTCAGTTTCTCAAGGTCTTTGACTTCAAACTAAGAGGCAAGCCGTGTTTGCAGAATCTGTCTCTCCACAAAATCATCACCTGTGATTAACATATTCAGTACCATTATATGTTCTTAGTCTCTTGATTTTTCTACCAAATTGGGTCTCAACCATTTTATAAAATTGAAAGAACAGTTGTGGTACCTCAGACTTTTCACGCATTAAGTAAACCCAAGTTACACGAGTGCAATCATCAATAAAAGAAACAAACCATCTATTTCCAGAAGCATGAGGGACTTTAGAAGGACTCCAAACATCAGAATGAATAAGATCAAAAGGTTCAACACTCTTAGTACTACTAGAAGGAAAAGACACACGATGATGCTTAGCAAACTCACAAACATCACAATGAAAAGACTCAACAGGCTTAGACAAAAATAATGACGGAAATAAAGACTTGAGTAAACCAAATGGAGGATGTCCCAAGCGCTTATGATGAAGCCAAATCAAAGAATCAGCAGTTGATTGACCATGAGACATCAAGATGTGATCTGTTACTTTATTTGCGGGAATTGTGACACCAGATAGTACAGCCCACCTTGCTCTTTAGCACTACCAATCGTCTTCCCCGTGGCGAGATCCTGAAAAACACAATGGGTAGGGAAGAAGGTTACAGTACAATTCAAATCTTTTGTAATTTTATGAATAGAAAGAAGATTGTGGAGAGTTTAGGAACATGAAGAGTATCTTTAAGATGTAAGGACTGCTGTAAGTTTATGTCACCAGAACCCGCAACTGATGTATGTGAACCATCAGCTATGGCTATTGTATGAGTTCCAATGGTAGGATGATAAGAAGTAAAGGAGTCAGCACAACAAGCCATATGATCAGTAGCACCAGAATCAACAACCCAAGAATGTTTAAAATCATTACATGAAGAAAGGAAAGAATGAGTTTTGGAGCTCATACCAGTCATAGCCAAAGCACTAGTATCAGATGGCTTACTCAGATAATCAAGGATGGTTCGGAGCCGTTCCAACTCATCTGGACGAAATGCAGGTTGGGTCTCATTAGGTGCAGGGGTTATTTCAGAGGAAGTAAAATGCGCTTGACCACGCATCCTTGCCATCTTTTCTAAGACAGTTTGCTTTCCATGGAGGCGAAAGCATAAATCTTTGATATGACCTGTTCTTTTACAATAAGAACACCATCGATAATCTCTCTTAGGTCTAGAAGATGCACCACCATAAAACTTTGTAAAGGAAATCCTTTGAGAAGAGGCCATGTTGCACAAAAAACAGTTAACGAAAAAAGCTCCAAGAAGCCAAAAAATTCGAAAAAAATACCAAACGATGTCCGATCTGAGAGGAGAGCACAGATCCAGGAAGAGGCTGAAAGGACGATCAAAATGGCTTGTTCCGATCGAAAAATATGGTCTCACGCGCCGGTGAGACTGCCTGCGCGTGGGCTTCACTCGCCGATGAAGGGGAGGCGCGTGCTGTCTTCTGGGCTGAGATTTTTGGGGCGATGTCGTCCGGCGAGCACGGTTCTATCTGGGGCTGGACGGAGTTGAAAAACCGCCGGGAAGAGGTCCAAACGCGATGAAACATATTCTGTCTTGTTGAAAAAAAAAAACGCGATGAACAGTAAAGCGGTCTGGTTTTTTCGTGTCTGAAGGTGTTTGGGGAAGACGATCCGTGACTGAAGGTGTTTGATAAGGAAAATCGAAGGTCTTCTCGGTCCAAGAGGTCCCCGGAAATTTTTTTCCGGTGGCGGCTGATGGCAGCGAGAGATGAATAGAATAAAAGGTTTTGTTCTAAAGACAATAGGCGCGGAAGCAGAGCCCTCAGGATCGAGAGCTCTGATACCAACTTGAAAGAAAAGGGTATTTGAAATATTATTGAATTGTGTAAATAATCTGTACAAAGGGGTCTCTATTTATAGATAATGAAAACCCTAATATTTGATCTAATACTTGACCTAATGGGCTTGGCCCAATACAACAAATAATAATAATAAAATAACCAATATTTACAACAACCACAGAACTGCATCGTTGCTGCTATCTGAATTCCTCCCTGGCTCACCACAAAAAACAATCCATTGTGATGTAGAACATTTTCCCAACAATAGAGTTGTACACTTTCGAAAACCCAAGAATCATCGTCCTTTTTGCAGATTATTTTTGACCAACAATGGCAAATATTATAAATTCACCGATTTTGATTTCTCCACCAATTTTCGTGAAGAAGTCCTACAAGATGTTCGTTGGGATTTGCAGCAACTATGCAGTGTTCACCATTTTATGGCTGCATATAGTTGGAGAGGAATGCTTGGATTGTTGGCAGATTGACCAAATTGGGTGTAAAACAAATACTTATTAAAAAAATACTTTTAAAATCTATTTACCTAATTTGACATGTGGCAATCCCTGGGAGAGGCGCTAGTCTATCTAGTGTCTCTCCCTTTTTTTTACAACATCTATCTTTAGAACGCGCTAGGTGGACTAGCGCCTTTCTGAGGAGCTGCCACACGCTAGGTGGAAAGTAGCTTTTTTTAATGAAGAGAAATAAGAAATTGAGCTTCTTTTCAAAAGCTCCTAGGCTTCTGGCCCGTTCCCCTCCTCACCGCCTTTGCCAAGCTCCTCCACCACTCCTCCCCGTCTTCTTCCACCGGTTTCATCAAACTCCAATTCATAATAAAAATCTCGAACCCCCAATTGTCTACCAAAAAAAAAATAAATTCGGTTAATCTCCTGCATCAGAAACACTTGATTCTAGAATCTGAGTGACCAATAACATGTCCTCCTCGAAAAACACCATACAATGAGTATCACTACAGAACTGCATCGTTGCTGCTATCTGAATTCCTCCCTGGCTCACCACAAAAAACAATCCATTGTGATGTAGAACATTTTCCCAACAATAGAGTTGTACACTTTCGAAAACCCAAGAATCATCGTCCTTTTTGCAGATTATTTTGACCAACAATGGCAAATATTATAAATTCACCGATTTTGATTTCTCCACCAATTTTCGTGAAGAAGTCCTACAAGATGTTCGTTGGGATTTGCAGCAACTATGCAGTGTTCACCATTTTATGGCTGCATATAGTTGGAGAGGAATGCTTGGATTGTTGGCAGATTGACCAAATTGGGTGTAAAACAAATACTTATTAAAAAAGTACTTTTAAAATCTATTTACCTAATTTGACATGTGGCAATCCCTGGGAGAGGCGCTAGTCCATCTAGCGTCTCTCCCTTTTTTTTACAACATCTATCTTTAGAACGCGCTAGGTGGACTAGCGCCTTTCTGAGGAGCTGCCACGCGGCATGCTCCTCTTCTAGTAATTAAATTATAATTAAATACAATTAAATTATAATTAAATTGGCATTGAAACTTAAAGTGGCAAGAACTAATTTTTATTACACGTGTCTAATTGAGTCGAATAATAATAAAGGTAGCATTCCCTTTTCGAGAAATTGATTTCTCCAAATAAGTCAGAAATGAGATGTCGTTTAAGAGGGAAGACAATTATAGAGGGAGATTGTAAATTTGGTCTTGTTCTCCTTTAATCATAATGAATATTAACCAAGGAAGTCTCTTGGTCATTGACTCTTTGCACTCGGCAATGGAGAATTGAGTTTAATAATAGCTACCTCTCATGGGCTTTTGTATTACAGTTGCGCCTGAACTTTCCAAACAATTAGGGTATTTGAAATGTAAGTGATTTGTTGAAATTAAAAATTTGAATCAAAAGTAAAAATTGAATAAATTAAAATTGAGATCGAAGTTTGAATCTAAATTTGAAAATTAATCAAATTCAAACTAAGAGGGCGAGCTTTGGAGCAACAATAAAGTTGTTCATTGTGACTAGAAGGTCACGGGTTCAAATCTAGGAAGCTTGTTTGCAAAAATGCAAGAGTAAGGCTTCATACCATCGACTCTCACTCCTACTCTTGCGAGCTATGAAGCACCAATTCCGACATGGCGTTTTCGATATGTTCCCGATACAGGACGTTGATACGTGACTTCAAAAACATTAATATTTTGATACGTTCCGATATGTCTTAGTATTAAATAATATTTTTAATATAAAGAGTGTATTTCACATTAACAAAATATAATAAAAGGAAAATCACAAGCACAAATAATAGATTATCCATACAAATAATATGTGCAGCAACTTTGTTCAATTGATAATTTGTAAATAATTTATGAAAGAATAAAAATAAAAATAAAATTATACTTTTGTTTGTTTGTTTAATAAAGCTTGTGTTTGAGTTGGCAAACGAAACTGAGCTTAACATCAGCAGACAAACAAATTAACCCTTTTCCTATCTACATGCGGCTATGTCACTGCCTAGTGCTGTCTCTTTGCACATGTGTAAAGCTTCGGGTGAATGCTTTTCATCACCTGCATGATATCCATCCATGTGTCACTTACATTCCCCAAACATGGTTGACGAGAGAAATCCATGCTCGCCCCTTTAAAACCAAAACTAAATCCCTCCCCTTCCTCTACAACACACCTTTCTCTTCATTTCTTCCTCTCTTGCTTCTAAGTCTTTTGCAACAATGGCTTCCAATGACCTCAAACAACAAGTTACACTCTATACACTCACCTCTGCCACCACCACTATGAACAACAAGAAGAAAAGCGGAGGCATAGGAAGCAGACGGGACAAGCAAATGGTGTTGACCAATCCAATACAGCAATATCCGTATCGGAATTGTATCGGTACAGGATGCGTGTCCGATACGTTGGAATTTTTTTTTGAAGCGTATCGGTGCTTCATAGCTCGCGAGTTGGGGAGCCTTGTGCTTCGGGGTTTTCCCTTTAATCAAATTCAAACTGAATTGAAATTACATATATTTCAAATAATATTTTGCCTAAAATTTATATATTACTCGTATTTGTTGTCAACTTTTTTATTATGCCCCAAATCATTCATAATCTTTTTATTAAAATTTTGGATATTTATCATTAATTTGAACTTTATTTATCATATGACATGAGACTCTAGCACCAAGACTCATGTACATATAATGCAAAAGATTTATTTAAATTTGTATTTATTGTATAATGCTGAATTAGTTTATTGTATTTATTGTAATAAAAGCCAATGAGAGCTAGCTGTTCTTAAAAGCCAATGAGTGGTAGCCTATGAAGCACCGATACTCTGAATTTTTTTTTCCAACGTATCCGATACGCGTATCGGAAACGTATTGTATCGTATCGACGAATTAACAGTCGTATCGAGAACGTATCAAAAACACCGTGTCGAAGTTGGTACTTCATAGGCGGTAGCCCCTAATTAAAAGCCTCTTATGTAATTGTTTAGCTCTTAAAAGACCCCTTATTTCCTAGACTCATTTCAAGAAATCAATGACTTCAACATCAACATCAACATCAACATCAACAACACCTTTATCCCAAATTAATTGGGGAAATCAATGACTTGTGAAGGAATAAAATTTTATTATTTGACATCAACAAATTAAACACAAACTAATTGTGAGATAGTTAGTATCAGAAATTTATTGTCGAGTTCCTTAAAAATTGTCTCATTTTTAGTTGTTCCCTTCCATAATTATTATATGTTTGAATCCTGTCCTGATAACTTTTCAAATTTCTTCATTTTCCATGTGTTGACCCTTTGGAATATCTTGTTTCTGGTTCTGCATCATCAGGAAGGAAGATATGGGAAAATTAACAAGTGCATAACTTTTCCTGAAATGCTGGATATGATTCCTTTTATGACTGGGACGTGTGATATTCCTCCACTTTACATGCTTTATGCTGTTGTTGTGCACCTGGACACACTGAATGCATCTTTTTCTGGACATTATGTTTCATATGTGAAAGATCTGCAAGGCAATTGGTTCAGGATAGATGATACTGAGGTAATGCTGTCACCTTGTTTACAGTCTTTGCATATAATAGGCAATGTACTGCATGTAACTATCATGAACCAACAATTCAAGTTGTTAGTTGAAAGCACAGAGTGGTTTTATTTCTAACGTGCCCCCTAATGCATCAGCCCTTTGGGCGTGAAGCATACATAATATACTGGCCAGCCCTACCTTGAGTTGAAATTAAACTTTTTTTTAAAAATAATGGGGCAATGAGGATTGAACTTTGGACCACATGGTCATAGAGATTCTAATACTGTGTCATGAACCATCCAAAAAGCTTAAGCTATTGGATGAAAGCTCATGAATGATTTTTATATCTAAAAGTAACCCTTTTATTTTTTTGCTTAACATTTTGTATTCTTGTCTTGTGTATTTTGGAAAGAAACCCTAATGATTAAATGAAATTAAGAAGTGATCAAAGTCCCCAAAAAGGAATTAGATTAACTTGTTGCCTTATAAATTTTGGGCTTCTGCCCACTGCTGTCATGTTCACTATTAATACCTACCTTCAAGTTTGTGTTGGGTACCAAAGATTCTTAACTTCTAAATTTGAAATTACAAATAATGTCATGAGGCCACTGCAGGGTCAGATTCATTGGTAGAGTGAATTTTATAGCGGCCTTATTTTCTCCTTTATAATGAGCTCAGAGAGAAAATTTTATTGATATATGGACTAAAAGAGTTGATGGGTATGCAGTATTTATCATAGATGAGAAGCTTCTCTAGTATTGGAGTTGGCATTAGCCGATAATGAACTAACATAACTTTGTGGTTAGATTGTGCTATTGAAGTCTGTCTTTCACTCTTTCTTCAATATTGAAGACATTTTCTTTGGAAAGGCTGTATTGGTAACTTATAAATGAGAATGAGGTTTGCACTACCGTTTCAAGTTGGCATATGCTTGCTCTTTCCTTTCTCTTGTCTGCATTAGAAGATTGGATTTTTTGTAAAATTTTGAGTAGGACACAGAAGTGCAGAATACTTTTTTTGTTTTGAAGATTTACTAATACCTACGTATGTGGGAGCTTCTGACAAATTCATTTGCCTTGACGAAGAAGAGTATTGATTTTGGCATGTAGATGTATGTTAATGTTATTCAAGACAAGCTTTTGAGAATGAGAACTATATAGAACGGATTATTATGGATGTAATGGGGTTGGAGTTGTTAATTATATTTACATTCACTATAATCGGTATGACTCTCTGGCTTTGATTCCTTGGGTACTTTTTTCACAACGTTCCTCTGCACTTAGTTTCTGTTATATTTTCCAAGTTGTCTTTGTTAATATGGCTTCCACCTATAGAGAAATTAACAAACAGCAGATACATATTTGTAGTCATATCATTCATATTTTGTACTGATAATTTGCTCAAATTTTCAAGTTTCATTAGGTTATAAATTCTTAGATTATGCTTTATTTAACAGGTTCAGCCAGTGCAAATCAATCAGGTGATGTCTGAAGGAGCTTATATCTTATTCTACATGAGGTAAAAATTTAGTTGCTGTCAGTAGTTTGTAATTTGTTTCCTTTATCTTTGAATACATTGGTACTTAATGTGCTCATCATCTTATGCTGCGTTCTTAAGCTGTATTTGTAACAATGCTATTTTTTGAGAAAATTATCCTCCTATGTCAATGAAAAAAATAATAAATTCAACAATAAACATGTCTTTCTGAGCTAAAAGATGAAAGTTCTAGGTGGACAGATATGTTGTTATTTTATCTCATTTCTTCTATTAACTTTAGGTGACTATCTAATAAAAGCTGCTCTTGCAATATAATGGAGAGCTTGAAAGTAAACTAGATTGATCATATTGTAGTTTTAAGTTCTCGAATGAACTTAAAACTAATCTCATACAAACCATCTCTTTGCATTGTATAGGGTAAGGCTGCATACAAGAATTCCTCACTCCTACCCTCTCAGGTCGGGGTTTCATGGGGAGTGATTTTTATGAGAATACATATTTTGACCTATTCTTGATTGATCCCATATCTGATCCTATTTATTGGGGGTTTTCATTTGACAAATTGTATTCTTCATATCTTCTTTATGGGTGTCACTGTATCTTTATTTTATTGCATGTTGTATGTATGCTTCCTTCAGGCTTTAACTGTTAAATCTTCCATAGGTCTTGTCCTCGTCCTCCAGTAGAACTTACCGGGAAAGCTTTGCAGCAATCACTTTCTGATTCTTCAAAGCACTATCCAATAGAAGTGCAGAAGCCTTCTAAATCAGGACTCTGCAGACCTGGCAGTCAGTATTTTGGGCCAGAGCCTTCATCAAATGCCAGGCTAGAAGTTGCTACCAATGGCTTCCTTAGAAGAAGCACCAATAGAAATGTGCTGCCAGTAACACAAACTTATGCTGAAAACCTCAGGCATGAGTTTTCAGATGCCACATCAAGTGATTGGTCCCTTTTCACTAGCTCAGATGAGGCTTCTTTCACAACCGAGAGTACTAGGGACTCCTTCAGTAATGTAGACTATGGTGATTCATGCAACATGGACCCAATTTCATCTATCTTCAATTACACCCCAGAAAATGCCTACAGGAAGTTTTCACATAGTAGGTCACTTACCAGGTTCTTCCCTCAAAAGGGTCATATTGAAAGGGTACAAAGAATTGATCAGTCTAGAAATGTCAGCCATTCTTCAATTGAACATCCACCAAGTGGGAATTGTGGCATGTATGTATATAATGCGAGTAATCCTGTGTGTGGCATTACCCGGACTTCTAGTTAGTGTGAACTTTAGTCCTTTGGGAATCCTAACTGGTTGAACTGATGATTAGATGGGAGTAGGTGCTATGCCTCAAAGTTTTCAGTATTTAGTTTATTGAGGTATATAGCTTTTTTAATCACAGATGGATTTTTATTTTTACTTTTATTGATAATTGTAAAGATGACAGCAATGTTCCCTTGGTTATCTATTGATCCATGAAAATCTTTTCCTAAGAAATTGCATTTTTACTTCATTCAAGTAGATTTCCAAGACATCCACTGCTATATGGGAAATAGATGAGTAACCATAAAAACATATATGACATCTATTGCATCTTTGTGTGTTTTGTTTGTTTTCCTTTAATGCAAGTCACATAAATATTTAGGTCAGTGACATCCAAATCTAGAAAAACTTTATGGAGTCTGCAACATTTTTGTTTATAGAATTGGAACATTTTGATTTTCCTGTATTGGAATCCTAGAGTTCAGTTGTGCTTTTTATAATTTGCAGGTCTACTAGGAATTAATATGTAGTAGCCAAAAAATGATTCGCTTGATGCCTTTTGTAATTAATATGATAAGAAAAAACACCCCAATCAAAGCTTATGTGCTCAAGGATTTCTACAAGTATCTTGATGCGAAGGGATATCTATATCCCTTGATTTGAAATGTCGTTTTTAATGCTGCTGAAATTCCCAGTATTTTTTTGGTTCTTTTGGAATTCAGTGCTTGTTCAACAACCATCTTGCCAAGGTCGTTATGTTTGGTGTCTTCTCTGTTTTGTTTTTCAAAATGTAATTTGATTTCCATTGTAATTTAATAAAGGGAAAATATTATCTTATGCTGTAGGAGAGTATTTTTCTCTCCTACACATACATCGACTTCCGTGTTTTTTTTTTTTTCTCTTTAAGTGAGTGAGTCCCACTCATAACTATCTCTATGACATAAGAGAGCTTCTCTTATGTCACATGAGATTAATAAAGCCCTTTAATAAAAGGCAAGCACTGTTTTCAACAACCTTTATAACCTGATTAACACTCATCAAACCTCACTTGAAGCAGAAATTCTTATGTAATCCTTGAGTATGGCATTAGTCGTTACACTCTGACACAATGTTCTGCTTAACATTCAAAATTTGAAATTAGCTTGTTGATGACAAGGCTAGAAGGGTTGTCTGGATTATGTGATAAATGGATGTCTATGTTTTAATACATGATGTTGTTATTCGAAACAGAGTAGCACTTGATACAGTTATGTTAGTACTTGCTTGACTCAAAAAATTCAAGACCATGAGTCAAAAACCTTTTTTAAGTTTATATTTTCATTTTGTTTTACTCAGTGTGGTGTGGGAGACTTGTTTATCATAGACACCTCTTATCCTCAGACACTTTGTTGTAGATAATGCTGACTCCAATATCATCATTGAGAAGTAGGCAGAGGCATGCCTAATATAATTGGTTTAATCAACAGAACACGTTGATGCTAAGTTTATTAATCACTCAACTGAGGCCTACCATTCAATTTGAGAGGCAGGAGTGCCTTATCCAGATTTCAATTCCTAACATGACTTGGTTTTTCTTCTCATGTTAACAAACAAGCCCACTAATGCAACTTTTTTGGTTTTTGAGTTCCAAAACCAATTATATGATTATGGAAAATCTCTACGATTCCAAGCATATGGTAATCATAAGCTTATGTGTTTGGCAATTTCTTTTACGGAAAAACTACTCTTCTGTTACATGTGATAATTTTCTCTCATACACACTCTTCGACAACTGTGCCATTTTTTTTATTTTTCAAGTGGTGGAACCCACAAATTTATCTCTACGACATGAGATAACTTATCTCCTTTTACATGAGATTAATAAAACCCTTTCTTTTATCACATAAACTGTCAAATTATGTCAAACAGATATCAGCCTAACCATGGTGTTGAGAAGCCACTTTATGTTTAGGGTCATTAGCAAAGCTTGTTGGATTCAAGAGGATCATGATTAATATAGGATTTGTAAGCTAGTGGTGTCTATTGAGTAAACAGTTGCGGGTGGTGACAGATCTTTGTACTCAATGAGGTGACTTGAAGCCAACGGAGTTGGTCTATGTGCATAGTAATAGTGAAAGAGGTTAGGGTTTTGGAATAATTACATGTGATGCTTAACCCTTTATTTATTGAGAGGTTTACCTAATAATGGATAAAGTTCATAATCTCCCAAGAATTTGTGGACCATAATGTGGGTCGAGAACAAATCTAATTTTGAATTTATTTATGGGGAATAATTTTCTACTGTTATTGCAGAAAAATATTCTACTGTCGATGACTCAAAGTATGCACGAGGTCCACAAATTATGGGAAAGAGAAAAGAAAGATGAGACTTATTTTGAATTGTGTCTGCGGGAAGAAGTGATTATCTGCAATAACTGCATAAAACTATTCCCCTTTATATATAGTTGTGTCTTTGTCCAAATTTATTATCCCTTATAGAAGTAGTATAAAATTATCCATATTATCTACACTTCAATCTCGAAAACCTCTTGGTGTGAGGGAATATTTTAGAGATGTAACAACCTTTCATAATCATCTTTCAATAATGCTTGAAGTTGTGTGGCTGTATGAGTGAGACTCCTATCCTCTTGTAGGTTCTTCCAATTGGAAGATCATAAGCATGCCAATGAAATCTTCAAATATATATGCTGCATTTTTCTGATAGATATTTGTCTATGTTAACAGCAGGACCGGCACTGTCATAATTTTGTAACCCTGCTCCAGCAAATAGACGCTTAAAATACAGAGGCTCACATGCTTTGTTTAGCCACAAGTTGACACCTTCCTTGTCTCAATATTAAGGGTGTGAGTGTGTGACCAATGAAGAATGAAAATAAGAATTTTGAAATTGGACGGATTTAAAAAAAAAAAAATTTATCAGATCTTTTGTAATTCTTTAAAAATTGACAAATATAATGTATGATCAAGATTAGTAAAATTTATTATATGGTAGTTTGAAATAAAGAGAAAAACATAAAAGGATCTAATTAATCTATGAGATAGATTATTTTACTTACCTTTTTTTCTACTTATTTTTTCCTATCACTTTTTAATATTATTAGATCAGAATTTCAACTACTTTTATTATTTCTCTCTCATATTGAACTTCTGATCTAATGGTATTGGAAAGTGGTAGGTAAAGGTAAAAAAGAAGAAGAAGTAGAACAACCTATTTTAATATAATAATAACACTGAGCTTCAAATTCATAATTTCTTATAAATTATCAAAATTCCTCATCGTTAGAAGTTAAACTCGAAATTTTAAACTATTTTTTCGCTATTTACACCCGTACTAAATTTCGCACATATTCTCACCCAAGCGAACAATGAAATTTAGAATCATATAAAACATCATACGGACTATTGATGCTGATTGATTATTTTGTCCCTATTTTAAAAAAATTATTACTTTATGCTTATTTTCAAATTACATACCAATTTTCCCTCTTTTCAAAATTATATATTAATCTATTTTTTTTTTTTTTACCAAAGTTTGACTGACCTTAATTGAGCAAATGACTTACCAAGGAAACAAAGGCTATAGTATGATCAAATAGAGATAGATTGATATCTAATTTGAGAAGAGAGACAAATTAACATAATTTGGGAAGAGAGATAAATAATAAATTAATTTTAAAAAAGAGACAAATTGGTCAATCAACTATTTTTTTTTTTTTTGTAAACAAAAATGAACTAATTATTGATGCCTATTAGTGGTGTAATTAAAGAAGAAATGAAAATAATGTATAAAAAAATGAAAATAAGAAGAGTATCCCATCAGTCCATAAAAGAAGCTATTACAAAAATTTATTTTTGAAGTGATAAAGTAATAGTTTATTTACTTTTAAATATTAGTAAGTTAAAATTATAATATACTTTAAATTAAATCGATTATAATTACGTCCTTATTTATTCATTTAGTAATCAGCTTATTTTGAAAATTTGATAAATGTGAAGAAGATAATTTTTTTTATAAAAGCAATAATTTTATATATATATATAATACGTGGTCATGCTCATGCTGGAGGGAAACCAATTTTTTAACCCTATTTTGTGCATATTCTTTCTCGAAAGTTAGGTAGTTACACGTCCAAACTGGGTCTTTTATCTCCACTGTTTATCACTCAAATCATCGCATGCACATGGGGCCACGGATCAGCATCAGTTGAACGCATGCACACTGAAAATGATGACAAATATTGAAGGAAAGAGCAAGGAAGTGAAGAAGAAGAAAAAGAAAAGTGTGCTTCCATAAGATTATAACTATTCAAATAGCTAACTGAGTCACCCTAGAGAAGTTTTTAATTAGGTATATTATATTATGGGTTTATTAATCTCATGTTAAAGGAGATAATTATCTCATGTCATAGGGATAAATTTGTGGTCTCCACCACCTGAAAAAATAAAAAATAAAATAAAAGAAAAAATGGCACAGTTATCGAAAGATGTGTAGGAGAGAAAATGTATCTTATGTAACATAAGTATAGTTCTTCCCTTATATTATAGAGATTTATAATTGTTATGTTGTAGGAAGTTGTCATAAATCGAAACCCGTGCCTTAAACTTTTTTATTTTTAAAAAAAATGATGGGACCCATGTTTAATATCTCTACAGTTTTGTTTTTCCTGTCACGTGATATCCGTAATCCTCTATATTATATTATGTTATCATTTAACATTTTATATTAACGTATATTATATTTTCAATCTTGATTGTTGATATTATTAATATCTGATGACTCTAATTTATTAAATATATAAAATATTAAATACAAATAAATCAATAATTAAAATTTAATATAACTCTTTTATTACATCGATATAAGAATATATTACTGTCTGTATATATATATATGCTGACATGATGGGTTGAATATATAATTGCACACTTTGGAACAGTAACCCCACGTTGGAGATTCTGTGTTTTGACACTGCAAAAGAACTCAAACGTGTCGTGTAAATTGTGGAATGGTTCACATTCTTCGTAAGAGTTATGATTTGGTCACGAGACGCCGCCACGGGTGGCATGACACTATACACTAGTTGATGTGATACCATGGCAGTGGAACTTTCCTTTCAACATTACCTTCTTACTTTTGGGCACGCATGTCGCCATTTTTTCTTCATGTAAACTTCACTTTGTCATCGAT